TCCCCGCCCCCCCGCCCCGCCCCCACTAGGTTTCATGCAACTAATATTCCAGTTACCTGTTTCGTGCCAAGCACCCTATTACACTGTGTGCTTCTGGGAAGGGGTGGGAGGGAGAAGTTGGGCCATCTTGCAGCCTGAAATCTTTCAGATGCGAAGATTAGGCTGCTCCTTTTTCTAAGCTAAACGGGTGTGTCCGATGCCAAGAGGAAAACATCCAGGGCCCTGTTAAAGTTTCAATCTCAAATAGCCCGATTCCCCACCGTTGAGAATGAAATCAACATTGTATTGATTACATGTAAAAGGATATTACTAGAAGGCAGGACTTCAGTCTAGAAACTTCTCAAATCCAGCTAGCATATTCAGAAGCCACATTATGTAAAAGGTGCCATTTAAGATGGGGGCGTGGAGGTTACAGGCACCCGGCCAGTGGGGGAGGTGTGAGGTGAACATCTGCTTGTTCCCCTGCCTTTATCCAGCCCCTGCAGAGGCCCTGCGTTCTCAGGACTAGCGTCCTAAGCATTCTCTCCGTGTTTGCCGCGCCTCCCCGTATCTGTGGCTTCTCTACATAACAACACGTTCACAACACGTCGTCGGAGGGCCAAACAGGCTAATCCTAGACCCAGAACAAGCATCCGGACAGCCCTTGCTGTTTCAGAGAGAGAGCTTTTTGACCCCCCCCCCAAAAGGGACCCTTTCAGCTGTAAAGTACCCAGATTGTACTAAGGTACAGGCAGCCTTTGTTACAGAACACTTCGAGGCAGCGTGCCGGACGCTTCACGTGAAAATACAGGTGACACCCGAACGGTCAAAGATTGACCAGTGAAGCCCCCGAGATGCCCCCACACCCCCACTTAGTCCCGGCTATTGTAGAACTTGAACACTGCCACCAGGTGCTGAAGGGGTGAGATGAGATGCCATGGAGTCCGTTTTGCTACCTTCGAAGATTATTGATAAAACCTTTGCCGGGGCGCCTGGGGGGCTCAGTCGGCTGAGCGTCCGACTTCAGCTCAGGTCATGATCTCGCGGTCCGTGAGTTCGAGCCCCGCGTCGGGCTCTGTGCTGGCAGCCCGGAGCCTGGAGCCTGCTTCGGATTCTGTGTCTCCCTCTCCCTCTGCCCCAACCCACTCGCATTCTGTCTCTGTCTCTCTCAGATATAAATAAGCATTAAAAAAAAAAAAAAAAAACCTTTGCCGAAGGGAGGATAGTCTTAAGTCCAGATACTATCATTTCACCTTATCCAAACTGAAGATCAAACTGTGATCTTCAGTTGTGTGAGCTCTGACACAGTTCCCAAACATCAGCGTCATAAAGGGAAAAATTGCATGGAAGCAAAAAGGCTCTTTTTAAAAATTTATTTATCTTTTCATGTTTATTTTTGAAAGAGACATAGAGACAGAGCAGGAGTAGGGGAGGAGGAAGGGGAGAGAGAGAGAGGGAGACAGTCCGAAGCAGGCTCCAGGCTCTGAGCTGTCAGCACAGCCCGACTCGGGCCTCGAACCCACAAAACGTGAGATCACCACCTGAGCCGAAGTCGGTCACCTAACTGACCGAGCCACCCAGGTGCCCCTGTAATTTTTTTCTTAATATTTATTTTTGAGAGAGACAGAGTGGGAGCAGGGGAGGGGCAGAGAGAGAGGGAGGCACAGAATTCAAAGAAGGTTCCAGGCTCCGAGCCGTCAGAGCTGTCAGCACAGAGCCCGACGCAGGGCTCGAACCCAAGAACCGCGAGATCCCAACCTGAGCTGAAGTCGAGTGCTCAACAGACCCCCACATAGGAGCAAGACTAAAACTGGACATGGATAGGGGCGCCCGGCTGGCTCGGTCGGAGGAGTGCGCAACTCTTGATCTCGGGGTCATGAGCTGGAGCCCCATGCTGGGTGTAGAGAGAACTTAAATGAGTGAATGAAACTTAAAAAAAAAAAAAAAAAAAAAAAAAAAAACAAAAAACTGGGCACGTAGATTTTCACAGAAAATGTAGATGATGCACGTGGTAAATGAACAGGCAGTAGGTAGTCACTATGACCATTTTATTTTTAATATATCTGAAAATTAAATATGTATTATTTCTCTAACAATGCAAATGAGGATCGACAACATTAGTGCAAAGCGGCATCCTACAAGTAGAAACTCACCCCGCCCCGGTGAAATTATTAGCGTTTAAGAGTTCACATTCTAAACAGTCTTTGCCACACCAAAAAATGCGTTTATTTGGTTCTTACTTTCAAAATTACCAGGTTACATGGCTTTCTACCTGAGAAATTCAAACAAATTGAACAAAAATACATTGACAGGTTTTTAGTTTTTGTAAAGCACTATCAGCACATATGAGGAAAAACATGGAGATGTCTGTCTAAAAAGACAAAATTTAAAGTTCAGGCCCTTACTTACTTAATAAGACATAGAAAAAAGATGCGAGAAAAAACTCTTGCACCACTTAAATAACAGCACAACAAAGAATAACTAAGTAACTAGAACTAATAGAAAGTGATCACAATATTTTCGGTTCTATCTCATTCCTTACTAAGCCACTCACTCCATTGAAAAGTATAGGATAAATTGTTCTCTTCCTTATTTAAGGCCTATGCGCACGCGCACACACATACACACACACACACACAAGAAGTTTATTTAAATCTAAAACTCATTACTATAAGACATATAAAAATTGAAGGTGGTACAGAAAGTAAACATGAAATCAGTATTTTTACTAACTTCTAGGTCCCAGGAGGGTATTTAGCAAACAAACAAAACCAGACAAAAATATTGGATAGAAGTGACTTAGCACCGGTTCTATTATACCAAAAAAAAAAAAAAAAAAAAAAATTGCACATGCTGTATTCTGCAATTTATTTTTTATGCCTGGTTACTGAGCAGCAAATTGTTTTCATGCCCCAAAATCTCTGCAAAGAAAAATTATCTAGTGACAGCAGAAATGAAGATTTGTTTTCCAAACAACCATAACTGCTTTCCATTACGAGCCCATAGTGTTCTTGGCTTCAATGGCATGGAGCATGAAAAAAGAAGGAGGCAGAGGAGGAGAAAAACACCTAGTTACCAAAAGCTGTCTGACAAAATACAAGCTCTTAGCACTTTAAAAGGCTACTCTGGACAACAGTACTTTGAACGTTAATAGTCACTGCTAGTCTTCAGAGGAGAAAAGGCACTCACCCCACGAAACGATTTTTCAGATTTGACAAGCCAAACCTAGTTTTAACGGCAGAGTCACTAGGTTGAAAGTGGAACCGAATACAAGAGAACCAACGAGCCGTCCGTTGGTTATCATCTCCTTAATGATAAACACAATCTGCTACATTACTTGTAAACTTTTGCACGTACTAGCGTAGCCCTCTTAAATGGGAAGAGAAGAGATCAATGAAACAACGTGTGGTTCTTACTTCCGGTAACTTAGAAGATCTTGTGGCCCCTTTAGAGATCAGGTTGCTCGAGTGGCTGGCTGGTTATGAGCACGTAACGTGCCTCGTCACTCAGGGCAACCACACTGACTGGCATTCCACCTTGGCTCTACCGGCTGGTACTTTTCCACAGAATATCAAGTTAAGACTGAAATGAATCATGTCACAGGGAGATGTTGCCTTCCACTACTTCTGTGAATGAAAATCACCCTCTCGTCCTGCCAGCCAGTCTGATCTCATTGATGTCTTCAACTGCCGAGTCAGGGATAGCTTGGCTGGGGGTGGGAAAAAAAAAGGTCATCTACTGCCCCTGAGGGTCCTAAATCCAATATAAGGCGGAATGAATCAGCCGAGCTTTTAATAGAACATGCACTGCGTTAAGATGTAAGTCTTTAAGAATCTATAAAATATCTCAATTTAAAAACATAGTCAAGAAGTCCAAAACCAGTAGGTAAAAAGAGAAACCGCTTATGTTACGAGTTTACAAAGCCTTCACACATACCATTTTTCCCCAGCTAGAAAACTAGGGCTTTGCCCTCGACTCCTAACTCCATGGCGTGATTGAGGATTGGGGAGGCACTTGTTAACGTGTTATCAAAAGTCAGTTTGGGGATAGTCAGCGGCTTTTTACAAACTGATGTCACCCAACCCTGAGTGAAAGGATTACATAACCTGAAATGAAATACTGCCACGTCCTGTCCTCCCAAAGTGCTGGTATCGGTGCCCCAGGATCTTTCGGCATTTCCTTTTGCAAATCCCACTGGTTCTTTTACTTCCATTCTCTTGCTTCTCTAGGATGGAATGACGTGGGGTTCTTCAAAAAAAAACCACACACAAAAACAGAAAAGAAAGAACAAAACAAAACTCTGCAAATGGTCCACCGTCCGTTTAAACGTCAAGGGACAATCCGAGCCCCTTTTAGTTTCGTCTTCCAAATTTTGTTTCTAAAAGGACAACTCTTTGAGTACTATGAACATATTTAAAAGATTAATTTCCCTCTGGTGGGTGGTCACGTAGCCTTCCGATGTCGTGAAGGAGTCTCTGGTATGTCCTTGCTGTCATCCCTTCTGTTACCTACAGCCGTTTCTGGATAAAAGTCAGGAAAGTTTCGTCGCTGCACGTGGTGTTTCGGACCAAGGCTAAGAAGGTATAAAAAGACCTTATTTCATTCGCTGTTGTCCCTTTTGAAGATAAATGACACTAAATGATGCTGTTAGAACAGCTAAGGAGCCACAGGGGGCCATCTCAACTCCTCTCAACGTTCATTTGCTCCCTCGCTGGCACCCAGTTAAAGTCGCGGCTGAACTGTAGAAATGTCTGTCCTCGGATCAGGAAGTTTTGCGGGCACACTGTTTTACCAACCTTCGGAATCTGGATGTTTTTTATTTCTAAAGTTTGCCAGCACACTGGCAGTCATTTATGCTTTATACTTTGGCAAGAGAAACAAGGTTTTTGCATTTGACCTTGCTCAAGCTTTTAAGTGTCGCTCTCTTGCTCTGTAGTTGCCAACTACATTGCTATATTTGGTTTTAAATTTTCTTCTTGCAATTTGCTGCGAATGGGAGCGTTTTCTGAACCGAAAGAACTTCAAAACATTTGATAATACAGAGGACTAGTGTGGCTGTTTTGTGAATAGCTTTCATAGTCCGCGTGCTCCTGACTGTTACGTCTCATATAATAATTATCAGAATTCAGCCTGGAATCTTTAGAATTCTCATATCTTTTGCACCTTCTCACCTCCTGGTTGTAGTCTGGCCTCCAGGGGGTCTCTCTTCTTCGGGGGGAACCCCTCAAGTAGAAAACATCGGCGCTGTTTGATGATGTTATTGGCACATGAGGGGGCCTATAGTTCACGTTCTGGCCGAATGTGCTATCATCGAACCTCTTCCTCTTTCTTACCATGTCGTCTAACAGATCACTGGGGCTGGATCCACGGTAGTAGCCTTCATCAAGCAAATATTTGGGGGCCAGTGTTTCCCTGTTTCGGCTATTCTTCTTCTCACCTCTCATGGAACCATTTTCACCTTCAAGCCATGAGCCTGTCAACTCATACCTGGACCTCTTGACTGGTTTCCAAGGCTCATGTTTAGAGTAGCGTTCCTCACCCTCGCGGTTCCACTCTGAACACCAGGTCTGCGGACTTGACCTAACTTCTTGATCGCTAGTGATAATTTCAGCAGCATCAAGAGATCTTTTTTCTGGGGAGCTATCATATGTAGTCACAGATTTCTCATTGTCTTCTTTCTTTATGCTAAGGATTTCACTGAAGCATTCAGAATCACTACTAATTTCCTCTAAGAAATCGGTCAACTCCATTTCTAAGTCTGCTGACCTGTTGGGTGAGGAATCCTGGCTTTGACTGGTGGATTTGGAAACTCTGACCTCGTAAGCATAAATCTCTTCCGACAGATTGCTCATTGCATCAGTTGGGGACAAATGACCACCAGCCTCACTGGCTGTGTCCTTGCAAAGATTTAACTCCTTGCGACTTTCTTTGGCATAATCCACTCTTCCTCTCTTTTGTGGTTTATGCTCAGGACCCCGAGTACAAATCTCTGAGCAGCCATCATCTTTTTGAGCCTGTCGTCTTGTTGCCAGGGTTTGCACTGGGCTCAGGCTGGGGGAGTGATAGTTACGTTTTCTCAAAGTGACTCGAATTCCATTTCCCTTAGCATGGACAGCCCTCTGCCACTCACGCGTGCTTTCTGGGCCACTTGGTTCTAGGCAGATACGGGCATAGTTTGGAGGTTGATAGCAGTTTAACATGTAATCAATAAATTCATCTGTTTCATAGATCTTCTGTTTCCTGCCACGCCCTCGCTCAAACAATCTGGAGGAATCGGATTTATGAGAATTGCTGCGGTCTTCTTTCTCAAGAGGCTGACCCTGGACTGTTGCATTCTGCAGAGAACTCTGGTCAGAGACCGAACTCTCATTGTATCCATCGGCTAATGATTTTCCAGCTCTTGCTCCTCTAGTTGAAGAGCTTATTTCTTTTCTCCTAAGGTGGTGGGGAGATTGATGTAAGTGAGCCCTATTTATTTTCTTCATTTTTTGTTTTTGTTTATGGTGTAACTTGGCAACCTGATATTTTGGCATTTCTTCTTGGTTCTGAAGGTACTGGCTGTGTAGCTCTTCTTTCTTCAGAGTTTTCGACATGTTCGCTGGAGTGTGGTTCGCTCTGGGGCTTGGATCGTCTACCCCCTGTGGGTTAAACTGGGTGGATTCCTTTAAAGAAAAAGATTAAACGTCTCACATGAAAACTGTAACGGTTTAAACATTTCAAAGAAAACTGGGCTTTCTGGCATGGTTCTGAAGTGGTTTCTAAGCTGTAAGGTGGATCCAGACTAGGAACAACATCGCACTGAGGAAAGAAGAGGCACAAGTGAAGTGTCTCGGGCTAACGCAAACACGAGGTCTGTGCTCGACCGTTTACACGCCTTCGGAGCACACGACCCTTTTCTTTATATGTGCACAAACTGGCGAGCATTTACTGTTCCGGGTCTTACGCTAGGGGCTGGGGATAGTAAAAGAAGACATGCTCTACAGCCTTCCCAGAAAATCCTAGAACAAGAAGAGACTGATGGGTGAAATGTGTGTCTAAAAGGGAATCGCCTGGCCTAAAACATGAACCGTCTTTCTGCTTTTCATTCCAGCCTCTTCCCGTGGATTGTAGGGGAGGATATCCCTGAGCTGTCCCCTCTCACCTGCTTCATTCAGAAGCAAGATGACAGGTAGAAAACACGGCCATGCCAGTGGTTCTGCCTGTGTTGTCTGCTCTGCACAACCAAAGGGCAGGTTAAAGGTGCTGCCCACGGGCCCCACCCCTCGGGGAGAGTGTGCACCGTGCCCTCACTGACGGCTCGCGTCAATCGGGACAGTGCCCACCCGTTACCCGGGATCCAAACCTGAGGACCGCACGCAATCAGTATGTGGTATCAGTGGGGCCAAGAATTAGGCACCACACACATGTAAAAAGGTAAATTCTTAAAAAGGGGTTGCCCCCAGAGATCAGTAAGGTAAATTTAAAAGATTCAGCTAGCCTTATTAGAAAGTCTATGTGAGAGTTTTCTGATCTTGATTTCACTCGGGTCGGTTGTCCACACTAATGAGAGGCCTCTGATACTGAGGCCATTTACTCTTCCTCTTTAAAAACACTGAAGGGGCGCCTGGGGGGCTCAGTCGGTAAAGCGTCCAAATTCAGCTCAGGTCTGATCTCACCGTCCGTGAGTTCGAGCCCCGCAAGGGGCTCTCTGTTGTCACCGAGGAGCCTGCTTTGGATCCTCTGTCTCCCTCTCTCTCGGCTCCTCCCCTGCTCTCCCTCTCTCTCTCTTGCTCTTTCTCTCTCTCAAAAAAAATAAATAAAATAAAAACACTGAATATGCATTTTTAAATTAATAATTTGGGAACCTTTCTGACCTTCACTCCAGGATATCTGTGGAGGCTGGTTATCTTTAGGAGGTCAGTAAAGTGGGGCAAAAACCAAAAACGACAACAACAACAACAACAGCAAAACCCAAAACTCCAAAACGGAAACTCTCCAAACAAAACAATTGCTCTGTGATGTGAGAAATTCCTTAGCAAATAGTTTAAGACTAGACTAACATGAACCTGCTACCCTAAGGTCTCTGTTCAAGGTTCTTCCTTCCCATCCAAACCTGTTGCAGATGAACGGACAAGTTAATGGAAGGCTACCCACCTAACACCCCTTCCCTCGCCCTGGCGCCTTCCGTTATATCCATGAGAAACTCAGAAGATACACTAGCTATAGGGCTCTGGGTCAGACCATCCTGGAGTTCGGGAACACACAGTGTGCCAGACGGTAAGGGTGAGACACAAGTGCTTTGGACAATTTGGGTACCTCTTTCGCAAATCCACAACTGGGCTACTGGAGATCAGCCTATTGAAAACGAATCCCAAGGAAGGCAAAGAGTCTTCCATGGAGTCGATTTGAAACAGGCCACTGCTTCAGCGTAGAAGTGTGCCTCAGAAAGATCAGTACCTACCAAAAGTGATGGCTGATCGAGAAAGAGCCTTACTGCAATTTTCCTCAAGAGGACGCGTAGCAACCGAAGGGCCTCCCCCCTCCTCTGAGCCAGCAGGCACTTCCTCTCCTCCCACTCTTCCCAAGAGTCGGGCTCACGCGCAGCTTCAGCTTTGGCTGGCTCCTTCTGTTTCCTTTGCCGGTGTCTGTCTCTTTCCTTCAGGGCTCGCCGCCTGACCCTGGCCCTCCTCCTCTTTTCCTGGGCTCTCCTCTCCTCCTCTTTTCTTTTCCTGGACAATGATGAAGATTCAGTCATTCAGAAGGTATTTATTAGGCATTTGCTGTCCTTCCAGCTCCCTCCCCACTGCCCGGGGAGGATGGATCATTTAGGTTTCCAGGAATCACTCAGTGCGAACCCCAGGGCCTGACACAGACAACTTAGGGAATAAGACACCACGCATGGGGCACCGGGGTGGCTCAGTCAGTTAAGCCTCTGACTCTTGATTCCGGCTCAGGCCGTGATCCCATGGTTCGTGAGTTCGAACCCTGCGTCGGGCTCTGTGCTGACAACGCAGAGCCTGCTTGGAATTCCCTCTCCCTCTCTGCCCCTCCCCTGATCTCGCCCTCTCAAAATAAATAAATAAACTTAAAAAAAAAAAAAGGCTCCATGTGCATCAGTCGAAACAGAAGGACACAAAATTGAGCTGGTTGGTTAGAAGCATGTACAGGAGAGAGTGTACAAAAGGAAGGCTACAGAATTCAAAGGAGGGGCTTCTAGAAGTCCCCACTTTCTCAAACCACAAGCAGTCCAGCTTGTGGACTCAGCTGTCGCAGTGCTGATTTCATTTCTCTTGAGATCAAAACCTTCCGTGGAGTTGACTTCACCTTGGCTTATAAAACAGGGAAGTCAAGGCACTCAGAAAATCTTACGGATGAGAACTGGTACTTAACACAGTACACTATCATAAAAACATACTGGCTTGAAAAATACAGGCTTTGGGGCACCTGGGTGGCTCAGTCAGTTAAGCGTTGGGCTCTTGATCTCAGCTCAGGTCAGGACCTCACGGTTCGTGAGGCTCTTGATCTCAGCTCAGGTCAGG